GAGTTGGAGGTTGCTGTGAGCTGTAATGCCACGGCACTCTACCCAGGGGGACAGCCTGAGGCTCTGTCTCAAAAAAAAAAAAAAAAAAAAAAAAAGATAAATTCTAAGTCTGAAAGCTTTACACTGAGAATCAAAAATACGGTCCAATAAATGCTACTTACTTAATATTGTCTACCTGGTGATCCTTATTCTCACCCTCCCCCTCCATCTATTCAAAATGGAATTAATATCTTCTACTACACATGGCTGTTGTGAAGGTGAGATAACGGGTACAAAGAACTTTGAAAAAAAAAATAAGTAGCAAAGTACAAGTTGCACAGATAATTACATTACACTTAATATTTTGTTATTATATTTACCTTTACATCGTTATTTCCCACAGCAATTCCTATTTCTGCAAGGTCTTTTAGTAAAGATGCCATCATCTCAGCTGCTCGTTTTTTCTGGTGGTTGGTCATTTCCTTGAGTTTCTGAAGTTCAGCATCTATACTTGCTAAAGTTGCCTAACACAATCCAAAACAAAAGGATATAGTTAAATCTACCAAATAAAAACTCAATTCAAATATTCATAGGTATTTCAAGTTTTTACCTAGCCCTTACAAAACCATATATTTTCGGTTTTCATTTTCTTGAATTACTTACTAAACTGTGAACTAGCTCCTAGCTCAAACTTAAAAAATATTTTAGATCTCAAAAGCTATGGTAAAAGCTGCCATACTGTATTCCATATTATTGCACTAAATTTTGGGGTTTGGGCATGTTTTTTGCGTAGAAATGGAAAACGTCAAACTTAACCAGATTTGATTATCATTTATTACCATATTGTGACTTATCTTTGGAAATTGAGTCTGAGGTAACTCATGTTAGAATGGAACCGACAGTTTCTAGATGGTTAGTATGCTTTTTTCATCTATTTTCTATACATGTACTCGCTGAAAGAAATCTACTTGATGATAACTATCACTATTTTTGTTTTTTTTTTAAGACAGTTTCACTATGTCGCTCTCGGTAGAGTGCCATGGTGTCACAGCTCACAGCTATCTCCAACTCTTGGGCTTAAGCTATTCTCTTGCCTCAGCCTCCCAGGTAGCTGGGACTACAGGCACCTGCCATAATGCCCAGCTATTTTTTGTTGTTGTTGTTGTCATTATTGTTTAGCAGGCCCAGGCTGGGTTTGAACCCACTGGCCCTGGTGCATGTGAATGGACCAGCTACTTGGGAAGCTGAGGCAAGAGAACTGCTAAAGCCCAAGAGTTTGAGGTTGCTGTGAGCTGTGACGCCATGGTGTGAGCTGTGACGCCATGGTGTGAGCTGTGACGCCATGGCGTGAGCTGTGACGCCATGGCACTCTACCAAAGGCAATGTAGTAAGACTCTGTCTCAAAATAAAATAAATAAAAATAAAAAGGGAAAATGAACTTACTGGGGGCAGGAAATCTTTTAAAAGTACATTTCATAATGCTGACTGCTTTCCTTTAAACAAATGAGCATGGATAGGTTAATAAATGGTGGGCACTGATCTTAAGTGCAATTCTAGATACTGATGTCTACACAAGAAGCTAGCATTAACAATACCACAAGACAGCTCATCCACGATGATATATGAGCATATGCAGAAAGAAGTTACTTCACTACTTTTTAAACTAAAAACACTTGTAACTAAAGTATTAAGAAAACAAAACTATATCCAACCGATTTCTGATTCAGTTCATCGCTAAGCAATTCAAATTCCTTAGTTTTGTCTTCAACTTCCTGAGACTTCTGATCATAATTGACAGCAAGTTCCTCTAAGGCCTGTAAAACTTCTTTTACTTCTTCTTTAGAGGCATCATTTTCTGCTTGAAGGCGATTCAGTTCCGCTTGCATATTGTCTTGATCCCTTCTGGTAGATGCCAGAAGCTATAAGAAAGAGTAAAATATTTATTTTCATCAAAAAGATACAAGTTTAAGAAAACATCAACGAAGCATCACCATTTGCTAAGCACAAAGAAAATGAAATGTGGATACTATTAAGTGTGGCAACATTTATCCAACAAATTTACTGTATGTTTACTGTGCAGGCACTGGGCTGGACATTGGAAGACAGGAAATAGTCACAGATTTGGCTTTTTTTTTCCTGGAGACCAAGTCTTATTTTGTTCCCCCAGGTAGAGTGCAGTGATATCATCACAGCTCATTGCAGCCTGCAACCTCTAACTCTTAGACTCTAGCAATCCTCCTGCCTCAGCCTTCCAATTAGCTAGGACTACAGTTGCGTGCCACCATACTTGGCTAATTTTTCTATTTTTAGCAGAGACGGGGTCTCATTCTGTTGCCCTGGATAGAATGCCATGGCGTCAAAGCTCACAGCAAATGTCAAACTCAGCCTCCCTAAGTGCTAGGTATGAGCCACCTCACCTAGCTGAGGTTTCACTCTTGCTCGGAATGGTCTCAGAATCCTGAGCTCCAGCTATATTCTTACCTCAGCCTCCCAGAGTGCTAGGATGGCAGTTGTCAGCCACTGTGCCTGGCCAACACTTGCCTTTGAGGAATCCAAGTCAAATACAAGATGAAATGTAAGAGCCACAAAAGGGGGACAGGATAGATGAAAAGTCCTTAGTAGCAGAGGGAAGAAGATGCTTCTGCAGAGTATTCATGGAGAAGTTGGTCAGGATAGGTTGATTTTAGTCATGGGCAGATTAATGTAATAAAAGAAAATGGCATTTAACAACCAAGAGTAGTGTGTACAGAACCATGAAATTAGATGTGTAGAAGAGTTGCTTAAAATTTTAGATTTACTATGGGCAAGAAGTGATAGCATCTGTGCTTTGCCTCAGAAAAACATAAAATTTGAACTAGAGAGAAGCCAAGGACCTGATTACCAGGATAACGCAATCATTTAGGTCAGTGTCTCTTCAGTAGAGATATTTGGAAATGGGTAGGAGTGTTATAAATGGGCTAGAATGCTAATGGCATTTAGGAGTAGGCAGCAGGGATGCTAAAGGGACTATTAACACACAGGACAGAACAACATAATTAATCATCCAACCCAAAATGTCAACAGTGCCCCTTTGAGAAAAAAGGCTATCACTGAAATTAAGTATAATGATTATATTACCAGAATTAATCTATTTCCTGTTAAAGCCTTATAGTCTTTGTCTTCACTTCCCTACTCTCCAAAAACCATTAAAGGACTGTTTATCCTTCTGCTGTGCCAAATAAGACAAAAGAAATAAGATCAAATTTCTCATTCCTATAGTCATACCTAAAACTATACAATTATTAAAGCCAAAGTCAATGAGATTTAGAAACCAGTATTTTCTTTAATCCTTTAGATTACTGAAATATAAAAAATACAATGTTTTGTATTCACTTTTCTCTCATATCCATAATGTACATACTTTTTATTCAAGGAGGGAGAATCTAAGGTTGCTTCAGCCTACAGATCAAGAAAAAATGTTTACGAGAGAATCAGGTGATATAGATACTGTAGTCAAAGTAAGTAAAATAGAAGATACCTTAAAAGGCCAGTAGATGTATGTTACAGAATAAAAGTTTCCTCTCCCCTCCAGATTATAGAGAACTCAAACTTTAAGAGTAAACAATCAAGGGCTAGGCACAATAGCTCACACCTGTAATCTCAGCAGTTTGGGAGACCAAGGTGGGAGGACTGCTTAACGCCAGGAGCAAGACCAGTCTGGGAAACTGTTTGTCTTTACAAACAAACAAACAAAACAAAAAACAACAAAAAACCAAAAATAGCCAAACATGGTGGCACATAACTATCATCCCAGCTACTGTGGAGGCTGAGGCAAGAGGATCCCTTGAGCTCAGGAATTCAAGAATGCAGTAGGCTCGGCGCCTATAGCTCAACAGGCTAAGGCGCCAGCCACGTACACCAAAGGTGGTGGGTTCGAATCCCCAGCCCGGACCCGCCAAACAACAATGACGGCTGCAACCAAAAAATAGCCGGGCGTTGTGGCGGGCGCCTGTGGTCCCAGCTACTTGGGAGACAGAGGCAGGAGATTCGCTTGAGCCCAGGAGTTGGAGGTTGCTGTGAGCTGTAATGCCACGGCACTCTGCCCAGGGGGACAGCTTGAGGAGGTGTCTCAAAAAAAAAAAAAAAAAAAAGAATGCAGTAAGCTATGATTGTGCCATGGCACTCAAGCCTGAGTGACAAAGATCCTGTCTCAAAAAAAAAGACAAAAAATAAACAATCTTTGCTTCAATCTATAATGAGGTATAGATCTCTCAGGATAGCCATAATAAAGCATAAAGATATTTAAAAAACTAAAAAATGTAAGCATTAGTATATTCTGAGCTCTATAGATTGCTTCATCTTTTATGTTTAAATCACAATGATAAAGCTCTTTAGAAGTGATATGAAAGCTATTTAACTCACCTCTTCCTGATCCAACATCTGTGTCTTTAGTTTTTCTACCAGTTGGCTCTGTTGGTTAATTTCTTCATCCTAGAATTTTTAAGTGTCCAATTAACAATGTAGTCCACAACCTGGTTCTCATTATTTCCCAATACAAGTTATAAGACTACTACTCCTCCAGAAACACTTCAAAACCATTTATCCAATTTCAACATAGCTATTTTAATCTTTCTTAAGAAAATGGTAAAACAGAAGGACTTTAATTATCAATAAGTGTAAAATTTTTTCATACAGTAACAGCTCAGATTTGCTTGGTTTCCACTGAATTAAATTTATAATTTATTTTTCACACAGTTGACATCACTTACTGATAAAAGCAAAAGGGATATTATTTCCATGCTATTCTGTTGTCTCTTCTGTATCATCTTTTATGAGGGTCCTCAGACCCCTTATTCTAAGAGATCACATTTCTAATGCCAAATCATCTTTAGTAAGATCTTTTAGCATTAAAAAGAGGGAATAAAAAGGTATGCCCTCATACAGTTTCCACAAAGAAACTGAAATTATTTTACATTTTCTGTTAATACAATGATTTTTAAAAGGTCAACAGAAACCACAGATGTACACAAGTTATAAGTAGTCAAATATTGAAATTAACTAAGGAAAAAACCTGTCTCAATATTCTCAAACAAAACAGACCTAAAATAATACCTACCTTATCATCAAGTTGTTTATATAATTTAGCAATTTCTTCTTCACATTTCCTTCTCTCACCGTCAGTAAAATTCCCAGTAACTCCAATCGTGGCTGGTGGTTTATCATTGGTAATAGTAATATCTTTATCCACTGTGAAAGCTTCCAAGTTGGCTTTCTCTTTGTCAAACTGTTCATCAATAGGCACTTTCTCTCCTAAAAGAAGACAACAGACTGGTTAATAAAAATCAACATGTCTAAAACTTATTTCCATTTTATTCCATTTCATTTTTTTCACTTTTCTTCTCTCGTTGTATGTTTTCAAGTAACTTGTCTCCGAGTTCACAGGTTCTTTCTTCTGTTTGATCAATTCTGCTGCTGATACTCTCTACTGCCATTTTTCATTTTGCTCATTGTATTTTGCAGCCCCAGAACTTGTTTGGTTTTTAAAAATAATTCCAAAGTCTCTGTTAAGTTTCTTGTTCTGGTCATTTATTTTCTTCTGCGTTTCATGAACTATTCCTATGAATTTTCTTGATGTTCACTGAACTTTTTTAAAAGTTATTTTGAACTCTGTCAGGTAGTTCATACCTCTCCATTTCTTTTGAGTCTGTCTCTGGCACTTTATTTTATCCCTTTGTTGATGTATGTGTCCCTAATTGTTCTTGATCATTAATAGCTTGTGTCATTGTCTGCCCATTTGAAGACCTAAGTTCTTATTCCAGTTTTTACAGACTGACTTTGAGGAAGCCCTTCAATATCAGCCCATCCAAAGATTCTGAAGAGGCCAAAGATTCTGGGCAGTGCTAGAATGGACCAGAAGTCTAGAGCTGCTGAAGTCTGAGAAAAGGCCTAAAGCTTGGGTCGACAGGCTCTCATTAGACGCTCACTTTTACTGTGACAGGTCCAATGTTGGGGGACAAGACAAAGTCCTGTGCTCACTTCTCTCTCTCTCTCTTTTTTTTTTTTTGAGACAGAGCCTCAAGCTATCCCCCTGGGTAGAGTACTATGGCATCACAGCTCACAGCAACCTCCAACTCCTGGGCTCAAAGCGAGTCTCCTGACTCAGCCTCCCAAGTAGCTGGGACCACAGGCGCCCGCCACAATGCCCACCCGGCTATTTTTTGGTTGCTGCCATTATTGTTGTTTGGTGGTCCCGGGCTGGATACGAACCCACCACCTTAGGGGTATGTGGCTGGCGCCTTAACCACTTAAGCCACAGGCACCGAGCCACACTTCTCTCTTTTTCCCCGAAGTGGACAATTTCCTTCATGCTATGCTGCCTGAGGCTGGAAGCGAGGTGACGTGGGTAATGCATCACCATCCTTTCCTACCCTCTTCAATGTATCTTTTTTTTTTTTTTCTTTTTTTTTTTGAGACAGAGCCTCAAGCTATCCCCCTGGG